TATCTATCTATCTATCTATCTAGACCTTAGGTGAGGGAATTCCAGTACATCTGACCAGGCTTGAGTATCTGGTCGGGATGCCTCCTGAGTGCCTCCTTGGTGAGGTGTTCCAGGCATGTCCCACCATGATGAGACTCTGGGGAAGACCCAGGAACCTGGGAACACCTCAGGATCCTAACCCTAACCCTAACCCTTACCCTAACCCCCAGAAGAGCTAACAGATGTGGCCAAGGAGTGGGGAGGGCTTCCCTGGGTTAGAGCTAGATGGATGGTCCCACACGGCTGAATGCTGTTCCTTCAAATGTGGGATTACTACTTTGGCTCTACTATTTGAGATTCCCTATTTAAACCTTATTCTATTCTGTTGGTATGTGTGGTGGATGGTCCTACTACCACCATTAAGAACCCCAATTATAATCCAGCTGGAGGTGGAACCCTTGGAAGACGCCATTGTTGCAAAGACTGTGGTGGGATGTTAATTTTGAAGCTAAGTTCAGTTGAGCCCTATTATTTTGTCGTTTTACTATATTATTTGTATTAAGTTAAATTTGATTTTGCTTCTATTTTGTTAGGTTTTGTGTTTATTGAACTTCTATTCTGTGGGAAGTTTGGGGCGGTCCACCCCTGTTTAACCCCCTTTGGTTCTGTTTGGAGGTCAGTTTGGTTTTTGATTGGTTCAGTTGACCTCAGTTGGGTGATCTATAATCCTAGTTGTGTTGAATGGAAGTTTGACCTTTTGTTTTCAATATGTTTGATAATATCAAATTGAATTTGTTCTCATTTTTGGAACACCTTTGTCCTGGATTCAGTCTGGTCACTCACAGTATGGAAAAAATATATTGATCTAGTCCTCCATCCGGAGTAGATCCCCAATTCAATTCAATTCAATTAAATTTTATTTATACAGCGCCACATCACAACAACAGTAATCTCACAGCGCTTTCCAAACAGAGCCGGTCAGACCCTACTCTGAAGTTAACTACAGAAACCCAACAATTCCCACCATGAGCAAGCACTAGGCGACACAGGCAAGGAAAAACTTCCTCATCTTCCACATTCCCTCTTACCTCCATGGAGAAGCGTCTGTGCTGGGCCTTGCTGTGGAAGTGTAGGCCGGAGGGAGAATGGGCTCCGGGGGTCGTTGGCTCTGGGCTCACCGGGCTGGCATCATGGGAGGGGGGACCCAGTCTGTCCGGGGTTAAGCCTGACGGGCGTCAAAACATAGTCAATACTAATACACAATCAATAACAATCAATACTACAAGCAACGCTGCATTCTGACTCATGCTAACATCGTCCAACAGGCTGAAATATAGATAATCACACAAGGTAATCACACAACTTTCGTACTAATCAGTTGAGTCAGTGACCCGATCGTCCCACTATGTGAATGTACAGTGGGGGAAATAAGTATTTGACCCCTTGCTGATTTTGCAGGTTTGCCCACTTACAAAGAACGCAACGATCTATAACTTTAATCATATGTACATTCTAACAGTGAAAGACAGAATCCCAAAGAAAATTCCAGAAAATCACTTCATATGAATTTATAAAAATTGATAACCATCTGATGAGGAAAAATAAGCATTCTTTGTAAGTGGGCAAACCTGCAAAAGCAGCAAGGGGTCAAATACTTATTTCCCCCAATGTACATACATTTGGGATATTTCTGTTATCGTAAGTTTTGATTTTCCCACAAAAATGAGTTAATTAGAGAACCAGGACTAGCATTTGAGCATATAGAAAAGAGGTGTCAAACTCTGAACCGTGGGCCAAATTTGTTGTAAATATATTTGGCCCTCGAGATAATACCAAATGACTTCGAGAGCTGGCCCCAGGTATTATACCGTACAGACCATTAACGGCTCGTACTACAACTCCCATAATGCCCTGCTGCTGTTCAGAAACTCCTCTGTGACAGTAGGAAACACTACAGCGGTCACTGTGCTGCTTCCCAAAAATGACCAAAAGAAAGAAACAGGAGCTTTCT